GAGCTATCTCTATAGTTATGCTGCTATAGGCTTAGACTTTTGGAGGACATAGGGACCCCTATTTCATCATTCTGCTTCATTCTCTCTCTGTTCTCCTATTCTGCAGAATCTGTTAGTTCAATCTCTAACCTTCTGCTCTCTCTGCTTTTCCTCAGAGTAGCTTTGCCTCGTATGTTCCTGTTTGGCTGTGACGTCATCCTGGAAAGAAACATCAGCTGTGCTGCTTCTATCAACACCCTTGTTTATAGATGTTGGAGATCGGCCTGTTTTCCAGTGTGGTCCTGTTTCTCTGACCGTGACTGAGTGGATGTGCTCTCTTCGTCCTCTGGCATGGGAGCTGCCTTGGAGCTCGTCTGCCTGGCTGCGTGTTTCCTGGACGGGGCCGCCTTTTACAGCTGCTTTTTGTATCTCTGCTTCTGTCTCCTTGAACCCCAGTCGGCCTCGGCAGATGGCCGCTCACACTGAGCCTGGTTCTGCTGGAGGTTTCTTCCTGTTAAAAGGGAGTTTTTCCTCTCCACTGTCGCTACAAGCATGCTTAGTGTGGGGGATTGTATTTGAGTCAATGAGTCAATGCAATCAACTGGTTTTCCTTAGATAGAAAACTTTGTATCAATTTGACTGTATGATCTGGTTGAACTGTAAAGTGCCTTGAGATGACATGTGTTGTGAATTTGGCGCTATATAAATAAACTGAATTGAATTGAATTAAATAAGGGGGAAACAAATAAGACAAATAAGTAGAATTACACAAAATGGAAATGAAACCAATGAAAACTCAAAAAGAAAACAAACAAAACTGTAGCTGTTCAAGTTTATTAACAAACACTTGTCTGATTAAATAAATCTGAGTAGGAATTCCTCTTGTTGTTGATATTTTACCTAATTCTACTTTTCCCTAAGATCCAGAGTTGCCAGAGTTTCTTACCAACAGATTTGTTTCTAGTAGCTTCTTTTCCTGTAACCTCACTGTGACCTGTAGCTCAGAAACCTACAACACATATAGCGCTATCAGACGTGACAACAAAACATGCAAACAGGAGAGAAACTAGTGGTGAATTATTTTGGTCATCATTGTTCTCCTCTAAATGTATGTACTTGTCACATTTATCACTCGCCTGCAACCATAGCAACCAGATGAGACGATAGAAGTAATTTCTGTCTCTATGTGCTATTCTTACAAGAGGTGTTCTCACAGAAATAGTTTGTATGAATTGGTATCAAACAACATTTTTAGTAAAAAATTACTTAGGCTATTATCACTTTAGACAAAGTAAACACCAAATGTAAATAACTAATAATAGCTATAACTCCTTTAAGAGAGTTTTCTACTGTAGATTATAGCTTTAGTTTTTTTTCATAGAACTTGCTGAGTTTGTTTTGTTAACAATCCATATTCTCTTGCGTAAAAGTGCATTCAGAACGAACACTTTTTCCGCTGTAATTTCCACAAAACCCACTGGTAGCTCACTGCTCTGCATTTCAGACTCAGTGTTTACATCTTGGACCACATCCTTAAATTGAAGGAGCTTCCGCTAAATGAAGCTGGCACACCAACCATGTCAAAAAAACCTCAGCAAATAAACTGAATGGTTAGTGATTCGTTAGTGCAGGATTGTCCATTTAAAATGGTAATTTGTAAAAATGGAAAAATATAATGTGTGCTGCAGGTCTGAATAACTGCACAGGAAGCTGCTTTTCATTTTTAGAAAGCATGTGTCAGGGCTATAAATAAGAAGTAGAGGTCACAGAATTTCAACATGAGCCAATGACAGAAGGGGGTTTTGTCAAGATTTTTAAAAAGGATTTGAAAAAAGTTGATCAAGAGGATCATTCTCAGGAAACTTTAAAAGACTCAGAAGTAGAAGGTAGAGTTTGTCTCTATTTGTTTTTATTTTCATTAAAAAAAACCATCATGCACTCCATCTTCCATGGCTAGCAACACTCATTACTCTACATTTACCTGCTGAAGACTATGGAGGATTTTTTATAGTTTTCTGCTAAACACGTACACCAAAAAACCTAAGAGAACATGAGTCTTTTATGATGAGAGCAACACTGAAGTCAATGGATGTATCATATCTTCTTTGAATGAAATACTTTAATGCATAAAGCATTAACTTTAAAACATAATGCAAAGCTTTTTGTAATGGAGAGATATACTGACTGTAATACCCTTAAAAAGGACTGAACGTTTAAACAACGGTAACTTTTCAGGATAACAGCCATGAAACTGTTGGTTTCAGAAAAAAAATGAATTAATGAATGAAAAAAAGACAAAATATCAAGTCAACCAACTAGAATCAAACTATATATTTATGCACAAAATGGAGTCCTAGCTAATATGTGTAATACCTCTTACACTTAGAACATGTAGACTGTTGTCTTAAAGGAATGAAAACAGTCTGCCATAACACCTGGGTAGACTGTTTAATCTAAACTGTAGTAAGTTGTTGACAACTACCAGTTTTAGTCCGTGAGGCAGACACCCTGTCTACTTTTAAGAGTAGGTTTAAAACTTTCCTTTTTGATAAAGCTTATAGTTAGAGTGGCTCAGGTTGTCCTGAGCTATCTCTATAGTTATGCTGCTATAGGCTTAGACTGCTGGAGGACATAGGGACCCCTTTTTCATCATTCTGCTTCATTCTACTGTATCTCTATTCTCCCACTCTACAGAATCTGTTAGTTCATTCTCTAACGTTATGCTCTCTCTGCTTTTTCTCATAGTTTGGCTGTGACACCATCCTGGAGAGAAATATCAGCTGTGCTGCTGCCATCAACACCTTTGTATATAGATTGGTCTGTTTTTCAGTGTAGCCCTGTTTCTCTGACTGAGACTGGCCGGATGTGCTCTCTTCATCCGTTAACATGGGAGCTGGCTTGGAGCTCGTCTGCCTGGCCGTGCGTTTCCTGGCTGGGGCCGCCTTTTACAATTGCGTTTTGAATCTCTGCTTCTGTCTCCTTGAGCCCCCCTTGAACCCACGCCGAATGGTTTAGCTAGAGGTTTCTTCCTGTTAAAGGGGAGTTTCCCTTACCCCCTGTCACTACATGCATGCTTAGTGTGAGAAATTGCCTTCGAGTCAATGAGTTGATGCAATCAAGTGGTTTTCCTTAGATAGAAAACTTAGAATCGATTCAGCTGTATGATCTGGTGAACTGTTAAGTGCCTTGAGCTGACATGTGTTGTGAATTGGCGCTATAGAAATAAACTGAATTGAATTGAATTAAAACTGGGCAGATGTGTGCCATGGAAATATGCCCATGCCATCAGACCACCACCAGCTATCCAAACCATTGAAGGATGCACAGCAGGATGGATCCATGCTTTTATTTTGGATTTTTATTATCCAATTTAGGTCACCCTTTGCTTCAACATTTATTCAGACATAATAAACTGCATGCACTGGTTGTAATGAGTGTGTATTTGAGCAAATGCCCTTCTAGGCTTCCAAAACCAGCCCTCCTATTCTTCTTTAAGCTGAAATATTCTTTTTCAGATAAACCTGTGTATATATGTGATTTTTTTTTTGGAATAAAATTACTAGGAGATCAATAGAGTCTAAAATATGGAGCCCCTTTCTTCTCCATACTGATGCTCAGCTTAAAGGAGACAACATAATCCTCATCACACCCAGATGCTTAAATAAATGGGATTTCTGACAATAAAAAGGTGGGGGGTTTTTTTCTAAATTTGTTACAATTTGTATGTTTAACTTAATTTATCAAAGTGATTTCACAACAACAGTCCTAAAAAAAAGTCTGTGTGTCTTTGAAAACAACTGCTGTTCATCCTCATGCCTAATAAAGCAGCGAGAAAGAGGAGAACGCACACATAAGGATAGTCTAACACAAACAAAGATAGTCTAAGGATAGTATGGTTTCAGTTCCATGAGCCTTAAAAAAACTGTACAGTATTACACAATATATGAATGATGGATAGGTCATATAAATACTTGTGCATTGTTGGATGATTGTTATGTACAGATTTTTACATAGAATAGTGTTACGTTTCACTTCTCCATATAACCAAAAGGTTTACTATGTAAACAATAGAGAAAGTAACTTCAAGTAACCGTTTAGACAGGAAGAACACAGCTGTGACGCAAATGAAAGCTTTGGTGGTTTTGAGTGTGCTGCATTTGAGATTCTCTATTACTAACATCTCTGCTGCACGTCTCTATGATCTTCTGAACTGCATAGAAACACCATATTTGAATGAAACGTGTTTCATTTGTTACAGCTGAGAGCAACCTGGTCTGAGAGTAAACACAATAAGCATAAAAGGGTTAGATTTAACCCTAAAAGTAAACAAGATATACTGCATTATGCAATAATTGATAAAGCATTCTTCCTTAAAACTTAAACACTTCTAAATCCCTTTTTTTTTGCATAAATTACTAAAGATCTCTGAGCTTTCAGTCTACCTACATATAGTTTTCAGAATCAGAATAGATGTAAGCATGCATGAAAAATCTAATAAATGATACACCATTTCAATCCAAGTTGCTGTGTTAGCTCAATAGATGGTAGAGTGACCCAAGCTCAAATCAAAGTCAGACATTTTACTCTGCACACATGGAAAAAAAGAAAAAAAAATCACAAACAATATTCAAAATAATACAATTTATTAACAAAACTGAATGAATTTAACTCATATATATTTCATTAAGGAAATCTTAAACCATTTAATGAGAAAAAACTTAGTTAAGCAGCTTAGTTAATGAAAAAAAAATTAGATTACCGCACAAGTTTTTTTGGTTACTATATTAGTAAGAGATAAAGCACAAAGAAGTCAGTGACAAAGGGTGTGCAAAAAGCTCTCTTCAGACATTGCCAAATGTGGTAATGTGACGGTAACCTTCATGAGCAGTTACAGTATAAACTTAGAATATACATATTTGATTTTCAAAAAAATAAAATAAAATAATACAATACAATATAAAATGTTCAATAAAGAAGTCCAGAATGCTACTGCAAAAACAAGCAAGTGGATTCCACACAGATACTCCAGTTCTTTTTAAAGTTATGTCATCTGGAAGCCTTGTTTACCTGTGCATACACAGTCTCTGGTTGGTCTTTGAATCTACTCTTAGTGGATTCCTTACTTGAAGCTCCCACTGTGCTGTAGGTTGTAGTTGGGGAACAATCTTCATCTTTAACTGTTTCATTTCGTCTGTCAAGAGAATCCTCTACCTGGTAAATAAAGTTCAAGAAAAAAAGTTTGAAAATGTTTGGTGCAGTTTCAATTTAAGGGCTTAACCTCATGATTGACCTCCTGTAAACTCACATTCAACCATGAGTGGTCGATGCAAAGCACCATACGAATGTCATTGTCCATTAATCGATGTTATTCAATGGTTACCAATGGTAACCACAGCAAAAATAGTGCAGTTTAAACGAGGTCCAAACGCCTTGCTGGCCATGGGAGGAAGCCATCGGTGCTCTTCCAGACTTCATTTTCACCACAGGGTGAGCGTGAAGGTGCGTCTGATGGATCCTCCCTGAGTTCACGCCACGGCCACGACCAACAAACTTACCAGCAGACATGACGCTGAATCTGCTGCAACTACAAACTTTCTTTCTTTCTTATTCCTTTTATTTTATTTTATTTTTGGTGGGCAGTAAACAATATAATTTGTGTTTATATCAGATGTAGGAAGACTGTGTGAGTTCCTGTTGTAACCCTGTCAGGGAGAAGTAGTGGAGGACATTTTTTATTCTTTGCTACTACTCAATCTGTCCTCGTATTAGCCTGTCGCTAACTACTAGAGAAAACTTCTTCATTAATAAAGTACTGTACCTGTTAAGTTGCACTCAGACCTAACGCATTGTAAGGAGTTCACTGCTTTTCAGATGCTCATTGTTTAAACCCTGTACCGCGTCATCAAATGGAAGGAACTTCAGTTACGTGAAGCTGACACCCCTGTTGGTGCTTCATTATTGCAGGTTTGTGCCAATAAAATTATCAATTGCCAAAAAACGAACAAAAAAGCTCAGATATGCTACTGGTTCACTGTGTACTGTTTCAGAGATATTTAAGAAGACCAATGTTTAATGTCGACGGTGACGCTATCCCAGTATGCTGCTGTTTGAGAATATGAAATTATTGCATAGCATCACATGTCATTCTTGTGCTGGCATTGAGTATAACAGTGAGCATATTTACCAAATTTAGTGGCTGGAATGATTGTTTAATATTTAGTAAATCACCAGCCTCCCAGATCCTTCAGTTTGGTCATGTCGTTACCTCTGGCAACCCCATTATATTTCCTATCAAGGTCTCACTGTCAGTATTTCACAATAAGAGCACAGGTAAAACTTAAAGGTAGAGTGAACAATGTTATTTTTCTGGGTGGATCACATAAATAAGTGCTCATTGCCATTTTCACTTACTGGTGGTGAGTCTGACATAGTGGAAAAATTGCAAATCGTCTTTTGGAAAGTAAGCTTGTATGAGCGATGCAAACAGAAGCTTCTAAACAGAGTGTGCACGAGGAGAAATGGGCTTGTGCACGCTCTCACATGTGTTTAATAGGTGTTCCCTCTCTGGAGCGAGTACAGGGTTGTGCATGTGCATTTATTTTGTAACGTGGAGAGGGTGAATCATTTCAAAAATTCACGAAAATTCTCCACTATACCTTTACGATCACAGGCTGCTGCTAAATTGTTCTCTAAATCTAAATTGTTCTCTATGCACAACTTTTGAATTGGCATTTTTGGAAAAGCCCGGGAAGTGCTAAAAAAGTAGATTGCTTTGGTTCATCCAGAGCTGCTTCTGGATGATGGTCAGATTCCGCTGTAGTTCCTTTCTAATTTACTGGTGCAGAGAGCACCGATGCTGGGCAGAGTGCAGCGCCAGACCGGGCTCTGTGCTGTAGGCAAGTGATGACGAGCAGTCAATCTAGGCCTAAATGGGCTTTAAAATGTGTAACTGTACTATTTTGAGCCTCACCAAACTCTAATGTGTTGAGTTACAAAAATATTTCTTTTATTTTATAATTAGTAAATCTTTGTTGTTAAAATATTCTAAAAATATATATTTCTAAGCTTATAGAGGAAAAATGCTACTTACCACAGGACATGCATATATTGTATTGTCCATGTCTTTGTTTCCTGCCAGTCAGAAAATACAAATAAGTGCATTTCTTTGAAATATTTCCGTTTGTCTGTGTTTATCTATTTATTCTATGATTGTTATAATAGTTTTTTTAATTAACAAAAATTTTGCATTTGCATGGCTGCACAGTTCTTTGTAAATAAATTTGTAAATAAAACCAATAGTAAATAATCAGTAATGTAAATAAACCCAAAATGCGTATGTATATATTACTTTAAAAAACACATACATTTTTACCCATAAAATAAAATTGCAACTTAGTAGTATTTCATTGATAATTTTAGAGTTTTCATTTAATTTTAGTTGAGTTTATTTTAAGACGAGCTCATGCTGAAATGCTTTGCTGACATGAATTTTTCATAAAAGGAAACTGTAGAAATAGTTAAACTTCTTTACTGATTCACTCTTGGATTTTGCACTGCGTACAAGTTCATCAATCTATGAGAGGCTCAGCACTGATTCCATGCCATTTTCTCTACCTTGGCAGATAAAAGTGTTAAACTCTACAGGTACTTCTATTCTTACATGTTATTGTTTTAATGTGGATCCACTGCAGGAACAAAGGAGTCGGGCAAAGTCAAAGTAAACTAAGGATGTACTAACTACAATATTAGAATACAAAAAACACAAAGAAATAAACCACTACAGTACGATGAAAATCACAGCTGGTTTTCAGCATATGTCTACCATATTTGCCTTTGGGTAAAAAGTTAGAAAATACAATTTCATTTCCTGCCAAGTTCTCAATTGGTTTTTAGTTTTTACTTTTTATTTTATTTAATTTATTATAAAATATAAATTTGTGCTGTTTTTAGCTGTTGATAACAGCTCTTTTTATAGATTTCGTTTGTTTTTAGCTCCCACTTTTAAGAAAAAAGTTTCAATTTGTCAAATTTCCATGTTCCTGCTGACCAAAAGTACCCCCACACCACGATTATGTTGAAACCATGCTTCATAGTAAGGATAAGCAATGTTCAGCATAAACTTCTTTAACTATTTTTCACCTTCTATCACACATTAACAGGTATTCAGCAATTTAACATAAACATCCTTTATCACCATCACACCTTTGATCAATCCAACATAAAGGCCAGAAATGTGGACACTGAAGAGTTGTGATGTGACTGAAAAAAAAGCATTTCATTGTCCTTCGCTATCACAATTGGGGATTGCTTTTGTAGTTCTTTCCCTTTTATGAATTCCAACAAATAATTTAAAAATATTGTAAAGCTACAGTTCCATTTTTAAGGCACTGCATCATGAAACAAACAAGAATGAATTTAAACCTAACCTAACCTTTTTGACATCCGCTACTTCTGATGATTAAAATGCAAACTGCAATGACTGCAGAAACTACGAGAGTGACAAGGATTATTAACATAACCCTGTTTCTGGATTCTACAATAAAAGAAAAGAAAAACACTTAAGTGGTTGTAAAATGTAAGAATACACTTTACATTTTAGAAGAAAACCTTTTGCCTTTTGTAAAAGAAGGGACCAACTACATTCATGTTTTACTTTTCAGACTTAAGTTTGAAAAAAAAAAAAATTAATTCATAGATACTCCAGACAAAAAAAAATGTACAGTGCTGTGAAAAAGTGTTTGCCCCCTTGCTCATTTCCTGTTTTTTTGCATGTTTGTAACACTTGTTTCAGAACATCAAACCAATTTAAACAATAGTCAAGGGCAGCACAAGTAAACACAAAATGCAATTTGTAAATAAGGGTGTTTATTAATAAAGGATAAAAAAAATCCAAACCATCATGGCCCTGTGTGAAAAAGTGATTGCCCCCCTCATTAAAATATACTATAACTGTGGTTTTTAACACCCGAGTTCAAATTCTCTAGCCACACCCAGGAGCCACACCTTAAATAGGGTCAGCCTGACACAGTAAAGTCCACCAAAAGATCCTTAAAAGCTACCCATCATGCCGAGATCCAAAGAAATTCAGGAACAATTGAGAAAGAAAGTAATTAAGATCTATCAGTCTGGAAAGGGTAATAAAGCCATTTCCAAAGCTTTGGAAATCCAGCGAACCCCAGTGAGAGCCATTATCCACAAATGGCGAAGACATGGAACAGTGGTGAACCTTCCCAGAAGTGGACAGCCACCCAAAATTACCCCAAGTGCGCAGTGACGACTCATCCAAGAGGTCACAAAAGACCCCACGTCAAAAGAATTGCAGGCCTCACTTGCCTCAGTTAAGGTCAGCGTTCATGCCTCCACCATCAGAAAAAGACTGGGCAAAAATGGCCTGCATGGCAGAGTTCTAAGAAGAAAACCACTGCTGAGCAAAAAGAACATTAAAGCTCGTCTCAATTTTTCCAAAACACATCTTGATGATCCCCAAGACTGTTGGGAATACATTCTGTGGACTGATGAGACAAAAGTGGAACTCTTTGGAAGGTGTGTGTCCCATTACATTTGGCGTAAAAGGAACACTGCATTTCAGAAAAAGAACATTATACCAACAGTAAAATATGGTGGAGGTAGTGTGATGGTCTGGGGCTGTTTTGATGCGTCAGGACCTGGAAGACCTGCTGTGTTAAATGGAACTATTAATTCTGCTGTCTACCAAAAGATTCTGAAGGAGAATGTCCGACCATCTGTTTGTGAACTCAAGCTGAAACGAACTTGGGTTCTGCAGCAGGACAATAATCCTTAACACACCAGCAAGTCCACCACTGAATGGCTGAAAAACAAAATAAAGACTTTGGAGTGGCCTAGCCAAAGTCCTGACCTGAATCCTATTGAGATGTTGTGGTATGACCTTAAAAAGGCTGTTCATGCTCGAAAACCCTCTAATGTAACTGAATTAGGAGAAAAAAAACAGGAAATTAGGAAGGGGGCAAACACTTTTTCACACCACTGTATATTATGTGTATAATATACACATAATATACAGTATAAAATAGAAGTATATATATATATACTTCTATTTTAAGAAATAAGCAATAAAAAATGTTATTGTTTTCTATTCTATTAAAATAAGTGAAGAAGCAATAAAGTCTTACCACCAATCTGGATGCAGTCATCCTCAATCTTTTTTATGGATTCTTTCCAGCTAACCTGGTTGCTATGGTTACAGATGATTGATTCATTGGTATGATAGATATGAAGGGAAGAGCCAGATTTTGTCACCATTCTACTCTTTTTTAACTCCTGTTTACAGGTTTGTTTTTCACATATTAGAGCACTGCTGATAGAAGAGTCCTCTGCCTTGCAGGTCACAGTTAGGATACGTAAGGAGGAGTTGCTGGACACACAGGTGATTGTGAGAACAGCAGGAGACACTGGATCTGAGGGATGAAGGTGATTTGTGAAGTTTTAGAACATTAGATTAAAAAAAGAAATAATATTCTAACAAATCATTCAATTTAAAAAACAGTATTATTATAGGGTCTCTGTTTTAGCTTGTTGTGAAAATGGCTTACAACGATAAAAACCATAAACCCAAAACAGAGAGGTTACATGGTTGTGTTGTGGGTAACAGGTGTTAAACTTTTTTTGTTATTTATGTGTTTTGAAAAAATTAAAAATTTGCTAAAAAAAATGTAGGCCTTTATAGGTCAGGAATATACATGTAAGAAAAACGTACCTTGCACTGTTACGTTGTATTCAGCAAGCTTTTTTTTTATTGGCAAAACTATTTCCGCAGTATAGATTCCACTGTCTGACTTGTTCAGATTATTGAGTTTAACTCTGCCATTCTGTAGAATTTCAATTTTTCCTTTGTGACTCAGTTCCACTTCTGCCTCTGAATCTTTAGAAAAAGATACTATTGCATAATCACCAAATCGCCACACCCATAAACGACAAATTGTTGGAATTTCAGCTTGTGTGACATTAAGGAATAGATCTTCTCCAGTCTTCAAAAATATGCCAGTCCCTGAAGTGAACCCTGTAAAACAACAAAACCAATCAAAAAATAAATTCATTACAAACTGAAGTGACATAGTTAGAAAGACTGTTGACTTTAAAGACTCAGGTTAATTCATTTGTTTTGAAAATAATCGCTTGTATAGCTGGAAGTGCATCTATTGTATCTCATCCCTGTGCTCCTTTCCCCTGCTTTCCCCTGGGCACCTCTAAATAGGAATAACATGTATATTAATCGTGCCATCATTCAACTTTCAAATTGTTAATATATGCCAGCAGAAACCGTAGAATTTACAATTTACTTTTACAGATTGCACTAGTCCAAAAATTATTTTTAGACTCAAAAAGGACTAAGTAAACATTTTAAGGATGAACACTTGTCGTATATATTGTTTTATTTTAATATGAATATATGGTTTTAGGTTATTGGGTTAGTTTTACATCTGGTACATTTAATTTATCTGAGTTTTTCTACAGTGGGAAACAGTTATTTGTTAAAAACGATCATTTCTATTATTTCTTGACAGGATTTATATTCCCTATAAATAAAAACAATCAATAAAATGAGACGGAGAGATGTTTTCTATTTAGTTTTTAATGTAATAACAGAAACCATTTCTGCATCTTGTCTTAATAAACTAAAAATCAGTAAAAAAACAGAATGAAATAATTTAGCAAGGTAGTACAACATGCAAATATGTGTGCACACGAGCAGATCTTCAAAAAAGGTACCATGCGATTTTGGTTTGTAATTCAGCAAGAAGCACATTCACAAAATGATGGGATGTGCCTTAAACATGCAGATCATGGTCTAATGGCAAAACCACTCAAATGAAGGGGTAAAGGATATGCTAATGTTAACCGTTACAATTCTAAGTGATCTTTCAAACCTGAAACTCACTTTGGATGCAGTTTTGCATCTAAACTTAGTATGTGTGAGAATCAGTTTCAGAATAACACATACATTTCTGTGGCCAATTTGGCCAAAAAGCAGACAATGGTATATTGAAAGATAATTAGGCGAGATACTGTGCACCAATAAAATTATCTGCACTGAAAGAAATGAAGTTGTAAAATAATATTACTGGATAAAATGAAAACAAACTGGTTTCAAACCATATTATGCAACCCATCATATATTGTGATTCAGTGGGGCACTTTGCATTATGAACCATAAACTTCATAGAGTCACAAATAAACATATTTTGAATGTCAGGAAAAAAAAAAAAAGAAATCACACTAGAAAAATATCAGTGGAGGAAAACCCAACTGCAAAGAGCGACACCAATTAATGCAGCGGTAAGCAATTCTATGTGTGGTACACCAAAATAAAAAAACGACTAAGCAGAAATGTCGTAGAATAAGTTTAATATCATTCTACATTTGCATGAATACATACTGGAATTCACACACATCCTTCCTTTTTTCCCTTCACTATTTAAACATTTTTACATCAAAACATTTGTCAGGATTTTTATATAAAGCAGTACTTACCATGTATTTGCCAGGAGATCGTTATAAGCAGATAATAGAGAAATGTCTCAAACCTCGCCATTTTTCGCTCTGTAAGAGGGAGTCAGTCAGTACTTCCTTTATAAGCAGTGGTGTGAAGGAGGCGGGAGTTTAACCATTGTGGAAGGCTGTCTTGCTATGTGAGTGAAGAGAATTCATATGTAAAGCTTTGACCTAACAAACAAAGGCTCTGATTATATGTTTTGTGGTTTTTTTGGGCCATAGAACATGATTTGAACTCGAAACGCAGCTTATTGTTTTCTAACCATTTCATGAAGTAAGCAAAAAAATTATTAAAAAGTATAGCACATTTAAGCAGCAAAGCCACTGGAAGTGCTTCACATCAAACAAAGGTGCAGTAAAATCCTTAAAAACATTAATCAAGTACACAGCAAATTATTAAAACCTCAGAATCATACAGGTACACCGACACATATTTTTTTTCTTAACAATTACTTTTTAAAGTAGTCCGTTCAGCAAGGAATAATCATTATTCATACCTAAAACGAATATGTTCGCTGTGATTTAACGAATTTAGCGTTAATCTGTAAATATAGTAACGCCTCACTCCTGACATGTTTCAGCAGTGATGTCACGATGCAGTAAGCCTAGCGCCATTCTCCCCGCTTTACAAGCAAAAATCATGGGAACTACTAGACACATCTGGAATCAACGACAATTATTGAAGATTTCCAGAGGACTTCACCATTGAAATTTACGAGAGCTATAGTTAAAGTAACAATGCCCACATGCATGGCAATTAGATGTTGCAATACATCGGGTAAAAGTGAAAAGAAATTATTGTTTTATTGAACAGTAGGTAATAATTTCATATTTAAAGTACTTTTTAGCAGTTTGAATTATGTATATGATTGGATTTCTCCTTTAACTGCTTTTCCCCAAAACAGAAGCAATAAAATACATCTCTCTATAGAAACCTATTATATGTGATTGTACCTGCAAAATTTTTTATCATTATAACTACAGTAAGTACATGTCAGGAATTGCAGAGAACTGTACACAAATGCAAACACTGCTGGAGACCGTTTTTGAACAATGATTTTTATTTTGTTACTGGTAAACTAAACCCAGAGGGGAACAGAAAGAACATAGGAACTCCAGGCATAGAGAGTTCGCTACCACAAAGGCAGGGTACACACAGCATAGATCTGCATTTACATATTGTCCATCATTTCTTAGCAAAATCCCTCATAATTCTCATGTAAGGTAAAAGGAAAACCAATGCTTCCCTCAGCTCATCATTCTCATCTGGATCCAGGTGATCAGATGAAGGATTTCCACTGCTCTTATGCAATCTTCTATTGGACATAGAAGGATGGAGATGACTTGAGGAAGGGAAAGTTTCCAATCTAAATGTTGTGGTGCCACACCACCTTGCTGCCTCCGTGGTGTATTGCAGCAGAATATCCTGATTTAAAAAAAATGAAAACAAGGGTTGGAGGAAATACAAAAAACAATGACATAAGACAAGTCCATAGCAGGCGTGGTCTCAGCTTCCTCTGGAAAAAAAACAAAACAATTAGGGATGTGATCAACACAATAACAATATAACAATTAAAAATGTAATATATAATACACTACTAGGTCTGTAACTAACGATTATTTTAAAAATCGATGAATCGGACGATTATTTTTTCGATTAATCGATGAATCGGACAAAAAATATTTTTTATATTAACCTCTTTATTCCAAAATAAACATTTTAGACAGAACAAACAAGCACACAAGTACAGGTTGCTCATTAACTGTACTGGTGCAATATGAAAAATAAATGTTTGTGATAAAACTACACAAACTTACATAAGAAATGTAGCTGTAAAACCACAAAATATAGGGTACTTTGTTTCATAAAGCGCAAAAAAACGACATTTTTGTTTTTAAAAGCCCCTAAGGGGTTCAAACAATAGGCCCCCCCATTTCAACAAATTAGTTTTTTTTAGACTAGAAGAGTTCTGCCTTTTAAGACAGGAAAGTACACTCACCGGCCACTTTATTAGGTACCCCATGCTAGTAACGGGTTGGACCCCCTTTTGCCTTCAGAACTGCCTCAATTCTTCGTGGCATAGATTCAACAAGGTGCTGGAAGCATTCATCAGGGACTTTGGTCCATATTGACATGATGGCATCCCACAGTTGCCGCAGATTTGTCGGCTGCACATCCATGATGCAAATCTCCCGTTCCACCACATCCCAAAGATGCTCTATTGGATTGAGATCTGGTGACTGTGAAGGCCATTTGAGTACAGTGAACTCATTGTCATGTTCAAGAAACCAGTCTGAGATGATTCCAGCTTTATGACATGGCGCATTATCCTGCTGAAAGTAGCCATCAGAAGTTGGGTACATTGTGGTCATAAAGGGATGGACATGGTCAGCAACAATACTCAGGTAGGCTGTGGCATTGCAACGATGCTCAATTGGTACCAAGGGGCCCAAAGAGTGCCAAGAAAATATTCCCCACACCATGACACCACCACCACCAGCCTGAACCGTTGATACAAGGCAGGATGGATCCATGCTTTCATGTTGTAGACGCCAAATTCAGACCCTACCATCCGAATGTCGCAGCAGAAATCGAGACTCATCAGACCAGGCAACGTTTTTCCAATCTTCTATTGTCCAATTTCGATGAGCTTGTGCAAATTGTAGCCTCAGTTTCCTGTTCTTAGCTGAAAGGAGTGGCACCCGGTGTGGTCTTCTGCTGCTGTAGCCCATCTGCCTCAAAGTTCGACGTACTGTGCGTTCAGAGATGCTCTTCTGCCCACCTTGGTTGTAACGGGTGGTTATTTGAGTCACTGTTGCCCTTCTATCAGCTCGAACCAGTCTGGCCATTCTCCTCTGACCTCTGGCATCAACAAGGCATTTCCGCCCACAGAATTGCCGCTCACTGGATGTTTTTTCTTTTTCGGACCATTCTCTGTAAACCCTAGAGATGGTTGTGCGTGAAAATCCCAGTAGATCAGCAGTTTCTGAAATACTCAGACCAGCCCTTCTGGCACCAACAATCATGCCACGTTCAAAGTCACTCAAATCACCTTTCTTCCCCATACTGATGATCGGTTTGAACTGCAGGAGATTGTCTTGACCATGTCTACATGCCTAAATGCACTGAGTTGCCACCATGTGATTGGCTGCTTAGAAATTAAGTGTTAACCAGCAGTTGGACAGGTGTACCTAATAAAGTGGCCGGTGAGTGTATATAACAAATATATAAACAAAGTAAAAACCCATTGCTACCACTTCGATGCATGTGTGTGAAACCTTCCAGCGTGGAACAAAAGCTAACGCTACAGAGACAGTCCTATATGCTTTAACTTTTCAAGAGGTACTTCCTAATTTATGCTCTTTGCATGGCCTGCAAGCGAGACCTGGGAGACCCAGGAGACGCTCGAGGGTCTATGTTTTTCGGCCTACTGAAGCTGCTACCCCTGCGACCCGACCCCAGAAATGTGGAAGAAGATGGATGGATGGATGGACTAAGGAATTTAATAACAGAACACCTTTAAAGATAATATTGAGTTGTTTTTATTTGCATTATTGTTCTGTTTTTTTTCTCAGACACCTCTTGAACAAGCATAATTCATTTTTCAGAACAGTAAAGAAGGAGGGTATTTAACAAATCTATATTACTTTATGTGATATTTTGCTGCAATAATCATATCATTAACAAATTATGTATTTTGAGGAATCAACTGGATATGTTTAAATTCCCCCAATAAATCTAAGGATGTAAAATTCAGTTATTAACTTAAATGTATAGTTATTTCCATAAGTTTTCGAATTACTACACTAATAAAAAAAATGTTTCACTGTTTCCAGATGTGTTTTACAGACACAGAAATTATATTTATCAAATATTTATTTAATATATATTACTTTAAAATATAATTCTTTATGTTTAGGAAGAATTGTACATTTGAAATGTATAGTAATTTTAGATGTTGTCGTTTTATAAACATTTCTTGTAAGTTATTACGTAACTTCTCTGAGTGTTGAGACACGCCCTGATCTGCGCACTGCCTTCATGGGTTCTCAGATTTCAGTTTATCCGGATGTCTGTCTGATATCCAGCTTAAAACTAACTTCAGGGCAGTAGACAAGCCCCATCTATTTGGAAAGGTAGACAACCACACAATAGATTCGGATTTCACAAAAAGAAATCGGAATTAAGCCTTAATAAGTTCTGCAGTGTGATGTCCCTGGTCATGTCCCTGCTTGTTCTGCTTCTTCTCGTCTCTGTGCTGGAATCAGTTAAAGGTAAAATTCCTGTTATTTCATAAACGGGGCTTATTTGTCGCTATGGCAATCCGCAGACACTTAATAGGAAAACCTGTGAAGAAGTAAATGTGATAAGATTTTAAGCTAGAACTCTTAAAACACTAAAAATGTCTTAAATTCCTCTCATGCTGCGAAAAGCTTTTGATGTTTTGTTATAGATTAAATTTAAAGTAGACATGAATAATAATCAACTGCTGTGCTCAACTATATCTGATAAAACAGTGTGGAGTTTATACCACAAGATATTTTCACTGATCTGGGTCTCTTTGTTATGTACACGTTATATGTAAAGACAAGTAGTTATTTCTCACCCAAGCTCTTAGTATTTGATAACCTTTTAAATTATATTTAAACAGCATTTCTGATGTTTATAAGCAGTGGCGGATCTAAGGGGCGGCTACTTGGGCTGCAGCCCCGGATGTTTCCCCAAGAGCCCCAGATCTGGCTTCTGAGCTGATCTGAGTAAAATGTGCAGTATTGGAATTCACCAGATCACAGGATTGGTTTATTGTTTCCCATGTAATGGGGGGAACACTAGCCTGACGTAGTCCGACTCAAGTCTAGTCAGAATATGAGTCTGATACTGCTCCATAGAGCTGTGATTATGGGGCGTGTTTTGAACGAACCAGGAAAAAAAATGCCTCTGCACTCAATTGGATAGACCTACAACCAATAAGAGCAACGGAGTGCGTGACGTATGTTAAGCCACGCATAGTTGTCATCAACAAAAATCAAAGCGTGCAG